TGAATCTATATTTGACCCACCAAAAAATGCTGAAATAGAGAATAAATTCAACTCCAAATTCAGATGTACAAATTCCTCAAGGCGTTTTATTATTATTAATAGTGAGAAATGTTATATTTGTCACTTATATCTCATTATAAACTCATATTAATTAAACGTAAAAAATAAATATGTGTGTTACTCGCGACTGTCCTTAACACTGTCTTATTTTAAAACAATTAATTGTCTTTCAAATCAAGCTTAAACATTATATGGAGAAATTGGATCAGTAAAATTTTTTGTAGAGCAGAATAGAAGCTTTCCTTGGCTATTTTACTCATCCATTATAAGATGAAACATTGTATAAAATTGCCTAAATGAATTGTGCCACTAACCCCACAAAGACAAGGGAATGTTGGTGCACTTTGGCTGCTAAAAATCGTCAATTGAAGAAGATATCAAAAAGCTAACATGCCCACGTGATGATCAATCAACAATGCTGGATTTGGAAACCTCCCAAGTTATTGTCTTGGTAGATAGATTGCCATTTTAGACAACCTTTATGACGAAATTCAAAAAGGTTTCTACTAGTTACTTCAAATAGAGACTAAACACTTTATGCGTTCACATCCCTTTTGGTATTATATCATCACTAAAAAAAATAATAATAAGCTTACGCAGAAGAATACCTTAGAAGAGGATCATATAACCAAATATATACAAACTTCCTACGTTATTAAAGGGAGATGTACATGTAGACATACTAAAAAGTCAACGCGTATAGTTAGGCTATTTACACACATACTTCTAAATGAGAAAATGCACAACACAGAAACGTTGACCAACACTAACGAGTTACAAGATTTTGGTCTAAGCCCACATCTTCGATTTGCTTTTTATATTGTTCTGCTTGCTAAGAAAGGTACCCCTTTTTTAAATGCTCTCGGCAGGTAATGTGTATCATTTCAGGCTTTTATAAAGCATTAGGGAAAAAAAAAAAAAAAAAAAAAAAAAAGGTCTTCCATAGAGCATTAGATCTATTTCGAGCCTTGTTTTGTGGGCGAATTTTCAAGTCAGAGTAAAAGTTGTTCTTTCAAGGCATATTAATGTTCATAATTTTTTTAAGAATTATTTTAATAAATGCCCTCAACCATATATCAAAGTACTTCTTAATTTTTCAAAACACCTCTTAATATATAAAAAACAGATCAAATTGTTTTTTTTATCCACTCCCGTCTATAAAACTTATGAGATGTTTATTTCAAGAGTTCGTCTTTAGTTTTGAATTACGATTTTTGCTTCTCTACAATATTTTTCTCTTATAAAAAATTAAATTTTAAAAATAAGAATCATAATCATAATTCTAAATTTATGAACTAAACATCTCATTAGAGATTTACTGACATGGCTTGTCATTAACCATTAACTAAAGGCATTAAATTCTAATTAAACTTGTAACAGTGATTTAAGTATTAAAAAATAATAAAAAAGAAATAAAAACTATTGAGAAAGAAACAAAAGTGATTAATTTAATAGTAGTAATAATAAAATCAGAATCTAAAGATTAAAGAAAACTTTTGAGAATATTTTGCAAAAAAAGAAAAAAAAATGTTTAACTCAAAAGAGGTTCAGAAACAAACAATGACCTTCTTATCTCTCACCATCTACATCTGAATCTCTTGGGGACATTTATTTTCTGTATTCGTCTTTGATTCTGAATCATAATTTATAATTTTCTATAGTATTTCTTTCTTATAAAAAATACACCTAAAACGAAAATAATTCTAAATTATAATTCTAAATTTATAAACTAAACGGCCACTTAACTAAGCTTTTCCCTCTCAAAATCCTAACATTCCTCAACACGAAGATTGCCTCCAATCTCCACCACAATCAGAGTACCAGCCCTCTAAAACCCTAATCTACAATCCCTAATTCTCCAAAACTTCTAAAGGCCGACCAAAATGACGACGTACCAGAGAGCTTCTCTATCAAAACTCATCAACCGAACAAAGGTGATGGCAATCTCTCCTCAGTTGCATTGCCTTTCGCCCCTCATGAGCCCAATGATTTTTTGGTTCAAATCTCACCCAAGGTTCGACCCTCATAAAATGGTATATTAACGTTGAATTAATTGTTACCACGTGTGTGTATATATATCTATACATCTGTATGTATATTCTTTTTGCGTGGATTGAATAAAATTTTCTAGTTCTCTCCATTAATGTCATAATTGAGCCCTGGCAGCTAGGCCGGTTTATATTCACATATTTATTGTTCTGCTCTTTCTAATAAAAACTTGTAAAAATTGTTTATAGGCCATAGAATTGGATGGGTTAAATTAGCTGGAATTTTGTACTGGTTTGCTTATCAGGCTTGACCAGGATTATAGTAATCAATGTGGATCTTGCAAAATGTATTTTGCTTTTCCACATGCTAAACCATATGGGAATATGCTGTTGCCACATTTGGCAGGTAATTTGCAAGGGAATAGTGGCTCATTATTGTGACTAATGCACATTTTCTCTTGTTTTGAACAACCACAGATATTTATTTTTTACTTACCACCTGGACAAATAAGAAAAATACTCTTCAAAAGTAATGGATCTAAATTTTTAACCTTTATTTTTGTTTAATACTCTTTTAAGTTAAATAACTATATATTAATAAAATGATATTAATTAAGAGTGAGAGATAAAAATTCAGATTGATGCATTTTTAAGAGTAAGTTTAACAATTTTCTTTATAGCATATAGGAGAGTAATTTCTTAACAAAATAATCTGATTGTAATCTTGGTAAATTTGGCATGTAAGTAAAGTAATAAATAAAGTTTATACCTCGAGCATTGTTGACATAATATGACAATCGTCTTCAGCAAATCTAATGTCTTAATTAAAGCTAATATCTATTTTATATTTTGGTTTATTTGGTGCATTATTTTTACATAAAAATAAAAAACTTTATGTGGTTTCCTTTGAAAAAAAAAATAAATAAATCGCCATATGATAATTGTTGGAAAACAGTAGAGGTCCTTGACACCTCAGATCCCGAACATTCAATCCTGAAAAATGAAAAACTAAATTTAAGAATATGTTCCTAAAAAGAATTAAGAATATGTTAGCGATCGATAATTAGACTGCATTACCAAGGTTTGTCAATTCGTAATGATGAAAAAACAAGGTAGACAAGTGCAATTTATACCTTACTGGGTATGTAATTAAAGTTGGAATAAAGTGCCTGAAATGGGTATTCTGATTCTCAATCTCATTCTATTAATTGGTATTTAAAATATGATCTTCTAATTGAGTTTCAACAAATATCCTATTCATTTTATAGAAAAAAAAAAGAGATATTATCTAAATAAAATCATCATCAACCAAATATTTTACCAAATTAAGGAATTGTTAAGTAAGATTGTTTCTAGAATGTGATATTTATATAACATTCAATATCACATCCAATTATTATGCTACTCCACTCCCTCAATTTTCCCAATAAAAATTCGTTAAATTGATGAAAAATGATTTTTTTTATTTTTTATTTTTTTTAAAGAAAAAAAGACCAGGGAACTGAAGTCAACAATTCCATGCTACAATAAACTGATCCACATTGTACTTCTATACTATATATATCATGCACTAACCTCGTTTATCATCTTTTACGTATATGTATACAAATATCAAATCCTCCATAAAGCACATAAATAAAAAAGATGGTCATCATTTTTAACACAAAAGATGGCCATATCAAAGTTAGTGTAGTGACAAACACGAACGGAGCTACAGAGAGACCCCACTGAGTAAGAAAAAAATTTTAATTCCTCTGTAACTTTTTATGATTGAAATTTTATCATAGTATTTGTGCTCTTACTTGCAACTATATTTTTTTTCTCCTTCTCATAGTCTTTTACTTTTGGGAATTTTTTTTATTACTCTATCGGGTTTTAACTTTAATCGACAATTATTTAATGACTTAATTCCTAATTTATATGGTAGAAATTGTAACTGAATAGTTATATACAAAATATAATATTAAAATATCATTGCAAATGAACTTTCTTGATGTTGAGCCTTTATGAATTCACATTTTTTTATTTTTTTTATTTCATATTGCAGAATACAAGTCTACAAACGCAATAATTTTGTTCTCCATTCAAAATAAAAGCTTCGTTCACTTCGCGGATTTGAGTTTTCAATTCGAGCTGAGATGTGATATTTTCTGAGAGCTTTTTACTGTAGTAAAAAAAGTTATATGTGACATTTTTTGAGAACTTTTTTACTGTAGAAACTTAAAACTGAAAACTCGAATCGGTGAAATAAACGAGGCCTAAAATGTTCTATCTTTTTTCTTTTATTCCGTCACTTGAAAAAAATACTTTTGATAGCATTGGTGATGAAATTATTATGCAACAGTATCAAAAAATGAGAACTCATCAAGAATAATTATAATATGAACATTACTTAATTAAATTTTATTACAAAAACGTACTAAAAAAGTTACTTTATTTTATATTGTTAGTTTATAAACTTTATGCTTATTCATATTTTCACTCAATTAAAAGTCTGCTACATTCTTGTGACAAAAGGTTATAATTTATACATTTCTTTTATATTGGGAAAGGAAATATATTTTCATGAAAATGTCACTGTCCACAGCCAATTTCCACATCCCTGCCCCAGTGTCCCATCTCCACAAACCGAGACAGTGTTGTCCCATTTTTTGCCAAAGAAAAAAAAACAAAAACAAAATTTAATTTAAAACTAAAATAAAAAAAGACAAATAGTACTAATTTATCTATAACATGAAGCTGACAAAATTACGAAACCACCCCGAAACCCAGCCTTACCCAAAGCCAACGTCAGACCTCTTTCTTCAACCACTCAAAAGCAAGTTTACGAAACATCCTCGTCACTTTTTTTTTTTAATTTTTTTCTTTTTTCTATTTTGCTAATTTTATTTATTTTTTAAAATAATTTTAATTAAAAAAAACGACGTTACTTATAAGGCGCGTATATATAAATCCGGGCAAGCTTTGTTTAACCAACGCCCTTTGCACAGCTCAGACCCGAAGGACGACGGACCGTTAGCGAGTTAGCGAGCCTCACTACTCAGTCGCCGACGCCGCCGCCGATTCAGTGGTGACTCGTTCCGATTCCTATTCCGACCTTCCTTTTCGGCTTTGATCCCGTGAGATCCGAGGTAATTCTTCGTCGCTCTCGGCGTTTTTGCGCCATTGACTCTTGAGATTATCTGGATCCGACCGTACGGAACTTGTAATCTTTCCATGGATTCATTTCGTTTCGGTTTTATTTCGGGTGAATTATGCAATGTCGATGCAGTTTGGTAGTTCTTGTCGGTGGTAATTGCGGTTCGCATTAGTTTAATCCTTTGTAATTCTCATTCTTCTTCAATTTTGTCAAGGAGATTGGTGGAATTTTTCATTTGTTTTGAAATGATGGTGCTTTTTTGCTTCAGATCTGGTATAAAAGTGTGGCCTTTTTCTCTAATTTGCTTGTTTTGGTTTGTAGCCTTCTTTATTCGACTTTGAATTTTTCTCGTGTAAGAGATCTCTGTTTGTTTGGTGCTTTGAAGACGGCTTAATTTGTAAAGGTCAAGTTTTGAACTTTTCTGTAGCCAAAAGACGGCATTTGACAGCGATTAGACTTTATGAGTTGAATAGTAAAACAAATATACGGGCAGACCACCTTTTTATTGAATTTTTTTATAAATAAGTTCCGTGTGTTTCGCCTAAGGTGTAGACAGAAGACTAAGCTTTTTTTTATAGTTATTATTAATTATTAATTATTTTTATTTTTTAAGTCGTAGAGTTGGAATTTGGAAAGGGTTTTTTTTTTTTTTTTTTCTATTTATTTTTCAGTCTTATTTCAGAGAAGTTGCAACCTTTTGTTTTGTTATCATGATGTCAATGCTGCTTGATACCATTCACTTCGTCCTAGAGAAATGACAGAAACTAATTAAACATTGTTGTCATTATGCCCATCAGAATAATTGAAGTTAATGTTTCTGGCTAATTTATAATAAAAGGGAAAAAAAAAAGGAATGGAAAAACACTAATTGCTTGGCCAACTCCAAATGTAGGCCTTTAGCTTTTCTGACTGATTTCTTATGGAGAAAATTTTCGTTTAACTTGTGATCTTTTTGGTTGTGATTGCTCCATCAAGGTATTAACAGGAAAAAAATCTTTTTTACATTTAAAATGTATGAATCTGACTATAAAGAGGAAAGTGATTAAGAAAATTTGGTGTTTACTTGAAGCAATAGTCAATATTGCATGTAAGTTCTGATTTTGTTCTGCATACACAAAGTGTGACGGCTTTGTCATTCTCTCATTTAAAAATCCAGCCTGTGGTATAGCTGGAATTTGTTTTTGTTTCCTCTACCCGCAAAACCATTTGGATGGATGTTCATTTACTCTTTTTAGAATATGATTCGTCTTACGACACGTGTTTATAAATTTTGGTTTCATCCTGAGCTCCCATCTCTAAAATTTTGGTTCTTTCATTTCTACTTTTTTGATAAACCGGTGTTATTCTCTCTTACTCGCTTGCTATATTCGTGTCAACCTCAGTTTGATACTCGTCAGCTAAAATATGACAACTTTGTTTTAGGAGATGAGCACTAGTAATATTATCTTAGACCTACAAACATCGGAGTTCCATTTTTGTGTTTTTTACTTTTCCAGCATCTTTATATAGGAGAGAGTATGGATAATATATTCTTCTTAACCTGCATTTAGCTGCTTCGGCTCTGATTACAGTAATTAACAGGAAAAACAAAGGGCAAATAGAAAATGAAGGCGCTTATTCTTGTCGGAGGTTTTGGCACACGTTTGAGGCCACTGACACTTAGTGTCCCCAAGCCACTTGTTGATTTTGCTAACAAACCCATGATCCTGCATCAGGTAAACTTTCTTACTTGTACTTTATCTAGAACCCTTTTTCTCATCCAATCCGTGTGCTCTATGCTAACCCTGTTTCAAAGTTCTCAAGATTAACGAACATATAATTTGATACTTTTTTGGGGGGATGGGGTTAGTCTAGTCCTTTTTCATGAAAAGGAAGACTAAGAGATTGATCTTCTGTTAGGACTCTTCTCTTTGGATAGTTGATGGTTCGGACCCTTACCATCTTCCTTGTGTTGCACTGTTGCATACGTCTCAACTCTCAATTATGGGTTTATTTGTCCATGTTTTGTCAGATAGAGGCTCTTAAAGCTATTGGAGTTACCGAAGTAGTTTTGGCCATCAATTACCAACCAGAGGTAACTTAGTGATGCTTTTTTTTCAATTACATAATTTGTTTAAGACTTAAAGAAAACTGGGGCATCTGAAGTTTGGTTGTCTGTTCATTTTTGTAGGTGATGTTGAACTTCTTGAAGGACTTTGAGACAAAACTTGGAATCAAGATCACTTGCTCACAAGAGACCGAACCACTTGGCACAGCTGGCCCTCTGGCTCTTGCCAGGGACAAATTGATAGATGATTCTGGTGAGCCATTTTTCGTCCTTAACAGTGATGTCATCAGTGAATACCCACTTAAGGAAATGATTGACTTCCACAAGGCCCATGGAGGAGAGGCCTCCATAATGGTGACAAAGGTAAGATCTAAATCAAAATGTACCTTTTTGGATAATTTGCATTAGTCTTTCCACTTGTTTTGAGACTTCTAGTGAAGATTGCTCGAGTGATTTCTCATTTCATGTAGGTGGACGAGCCATCAAAGTACGGTGTGGTTGTTATGGAAGAATCAACCAGGAAGGTTGAGAAATTTGTGGAAAAACCAAAATTATTTGTTGGGAACAAAATCAATGCTGGAATTTACCTGTTGAATCCTTCAGTTCTTGATCGAATAGAGCTGAGGCCCACCTCGATTGAGAAGGAGGTCTTTCCAAAAATTGCAGCAGAACAGAAGCTCTATGCAATGGTACTGCCAGGGTTTTGGATGGACATTGGACAACCAAGGGACTATATTACCGGCCTCAGACTTTACCTGGATTCATTGAGGAAGAAATCTTCCTCTAAGTTGGCAACTGGTTCCCACATTGTGGGGAATGTTATCGTAGATGAGACAGCCAAAATTGGCGAGGGATGCTTGATCGGGCCTGATGTTGCAATTGGCCCTGGCTGTGTTGTTGAGGCAGGAGTTAGGCTCTCACGTTGCACTGTAATGCGTGGAGTCCGCATCAAGAAGCATGCTTGCATTTCCAGCAGTATCATTGGTTGGCACTCCACTGTTGGACAATGGGCACGTGTGGAGAACATGACTATCCTCGGAGAAGATGTCCATGTCAGTGATGAAATCTACAGCAACGGAGGTGTGGTTTTGCCGCACAAGGAGATCAAGTCTAGCATTTTGAAACCAGAGATTGTCATGTGAGGGCTTGTTGCTTAAATTAGTAGTCTGGTTTAGGCAGTAAGTTATCTTTGTCTCAAATGCGTTCGTTCTTTTTTTTTTTGGTCTACTTTTCTCCTACACAGTTTAAACCTCAGCTTCTGCTGCTCCGCCTGATGTGTGTCATAACGTTGGAGGGTCCGTGTCCTCTGAAATCGTTGTTGTGAAATGTGTTACTTAATGTATATAGAAATAAGTCGTCAGTTGGTTCTGGGATGTGTAATTTATTATTTATATATCATGGATGAGTTAATAAATGTATCATTTTGTTCTTTTTAATTACCTGGTCGGTGCAATATCTCTGCCATTGGTTTCTGTAATATGAACTTGTATATTCCCTAAACTATGAAAGAAAATACTGTAGGCAAAACTTGAGTTGTGATTTAAATTAAGGGTCCGTTTAGTTCGTTGATTTGAGTTTTTAATTCGAATTAAGATGTGACTTTATGTGAGTTTTTTACTGTAACAAAAAAGTTAGATGTAGTTATTTTTGAGAGTTTTTTACTTAGTAAAACTTGAATTGATAAAATAAACAGAGCCTAACAAAACAAATAGGTCAATTCTTATTTTTTTTAGTAAGCATAAATTCACAGCACAAGTTGCTAAAATTATACAAGTTCAGGGGGCTAATGCGTAAAATACCTTAAAACAAGGACTATATTGTATTTTTCTTATCATGCTATGCATGTTATATATCAGGTGTTGGATGATAATTATTCTCACTGTTAAAATTTGAATTATTTTTATTGGGGGATAGGGCACTTATCAACAAAACATATTTTTATGATTATGATCTTTTGCGACTATCTGACACCTGAAAACACGTAGCACTTTATTCCAACCTAGAACTATTGTAAGTTGTCACCAACATATAGTTCAGTTTCTGTTTTAGACAAGACGGGGTCGGTCCTAATTTACTCAGTCCTCGTCTTACAAATCGTCAAAAACTTTACAATAAATAACTAGGAAAATCGATCACCAAATGAAATATATACAAGTGGAAAAACATTGAAAAGGTTAACATTACTTCCACGTAAGACGGTCCCAAATTGATAACGCGGTTGCCTTCTGTGGTGCAAAATCAAACAAAAGCAATGTAGCAATTAATATTGGTATGAAAGTGGCCTGAAGATCCTATGGAAATTTGGGCTTAACAATTCATTAATTATGTTGGCTATCATCTCAATCACGCTCATCATATTTATGGAGGAGAGTGTGACAATTTCATGTAATCCACCTGAAATTCAAATAAACTTATCAAAGTATAATTTAACAACCAACAACAAATAGGAACAATGGGTCTCAACTTGCATATCCTACACCTTATTTTCATTTAAATTTCTTTGAATTAAATCCATTTCAGCATCTCTTTACACTATAATATTGATATTACTATATTTTTATGTGCCACACAAAGTAGACCGGCATCAATAAGGCTTTTGTTGTTATTATTATTATTATTATCTTTTGTTATAATAATAACATTTATTAATTGTTATCACTTTCTTCATAGGTACCATGTGCCAATTTCGCTCTGGTCTTTTTTATTTTAGTATCATCCATGTTTTATGGAATACAAAGTCGTCCAAACAACTATTTTTAAGTCCAATTATTTATTAGAATATACAATATTTTCCAATTTCTTAGACAAGTTAACAATATAAGTAGGCCACATTTTTCTTCATACCCCAAATTCCACCATGCTAGCACCGACAATGATAGGCTACAGAAGCAAACCCCACAAGAAAAGGAACCAAAAATGTATACGAACCAACTAAATTAGTGTTAGGTGTATTATTAGTTTTCTTGGAATTTTATATGGCCTAAGATCTTTTAAGCTTTCTTAACCTCACAAGGATCAAATGATAATGAAGGCTTTAATTATCCTTTAATGGATTTCTCAGTGAAAAGAACGTTGGAATGGTCCATAACTTGAATATTTTGGCATCATGTGATATTGTACCTGATCTCATATCCATGGACGGAACTACATGGAGCCTATGGGGCGTGCCTTCACTCACTTTTTTATCCATTTAATTTTTACTTATAATTTTATAAATATACTCCTATCAAAAATATATAACGCACCCTTAATATCCAAACAATGGGTATGTTTGAAAGTGATTCTTGGAGCCCAAAATCAATTCTCTAACCATCCACCGTTGAAATTTGTGTTTGGTAAAAACCATAAAAAGTGATTCTTAAAGAATTTTTAGAGAATTTACAGTCAAAATCAGAAACAGCACAAATGCAACTTTAGTTTTTAAATTATGCGACAATCACATTGAAGTACAATTAATGAAATTTTCATAATACCCATAATACCCCTAGAATAAATACTTGTATAATTACAGTTTACCAAACACTCAGCTACGTTTTGTAACGGTTTTTTTTTAGCACAGCAAACATCAATTTTTCTAAAATCTATAGTACTATCAAACTGGCCCAATGTCTATGTATACCTATATTTTGAGATATACATGTATTTTACAATTCAATTGGTATTTACATTCTTAAGCCCCGTTCATTTCACCAATTCGAGTTTTGCTACAGTAAAAAGCTCTCAAAAACAGTTACATCTAACTTTTTTGCTACAGTAAAAAAAACTCACATAAAATCACATATCAACTCGAATCAGCGAACTAAACGGTCTTTTAGTAAAAGAATATTGGCTCTAAAAATTATATCTAAGATGTACGTAGAAACATTAGACAAGAGAAACAATACTAAAAGAAAGAAAACAATTAATCGGAAAATAAGGAGTTGAGGAGATTAAAGTGATTACGAATTAAAGACCAGTTTTGATTAATAATTTAAATGTATCATTAAAATTCATACATACAAGGTGGTAGAGTATTCATATAAGTAAAAAAATATGTTTAAAAATCATAGAATTCAAAAGTTATGGCCGTCTTCAGTCACAGTTCTCTGATTTTTTTTCCTCCGAAACTGATGAAAACAAGTGAATTTTAGCCCAAAAAATTGGGTTGGCGGGCTACGCCCTGCCACGATTGTAGAGCTCAAAAAGAGCTTCGATTTGGTAAATTACAGGCCCATCAACGATTTCTGGATCAAAAGTTATGGCCGTCTTCAGTCACAGTTTTCCAATTCTTTATCCTCCGAAACTGATGAAAACAAGTGAATTTTGGCCCAAAAAATTGGGTTGGCGGGCTATGACCTACCACATTTGTAGAGCTCGAAAAGAGCTTCAATTTGGAATATTAAAGGCCTAGCAACGATTACTGGATCAAAAGTTATGGCCGTCTTCAGTCACAGTTCTCTGTTTTTTTTTCCTCCGAAACTGATGATAATGTCAGAATTTTGTCCCCAAAAATTGGCTTGGGGGGCTCCCCCCAGCCACATTTGTAGAGCTCGAAAAGAGCTTCGATTTAGTATATTATAGGCCCAGCAATGATTTCTGGATCAAAAGTTATACTGATGAAAACAAGTGAATTTTGGCCCAAAAAATTGGGGGGGCGGGCTACGCCCAGCCACATTTGTAGAGCTCGAAAAGAGCTTCGATTTGGTATATTATAGGCCCAGCAATGATTTCTGGATCAAAAGTTTTGGCTGTTCTCAGTCAGAGTTCTCTGATTTTTTTTCCTCTGAAACTGATGAAAACAAGTGAATTTTGGCCCAAAAAATTAGGATGGCGGGCTACGCATTACCATATTCATAGAGCTCAAAAACAGCTTCAATTTGGTATATTATTGGCCCAGCAACGGTTTCTGGATCAAAAGTTATGGTCGTCTTCAGTCACAGTTCTCTGATTGTTTTTTCCTCTGAAACTGATGAAAACAACGGAATTTTGGCCCAAAAAATTGTGTTGGCGGGCTACGCCCTACCATGTTTGTAGAGCTCGAAAAGAGCTTCGATTTGGAATATTATTGGCCCAGCAACGATTTCTGTATCAAAAGTTATGGCCGTCTTCAGTCATAGTTCTCCGATTTTTTTTCCTCCAAAATTGATGAAAACAAGTGAATTTTGGCCCAAAAAGTTGGGTTGGTGGGCTACGCCCCACCAAGTTTGTAGAGCTCGAAAAGAGCTTCGATTTTGTTTATTATATCGCTAGCAACGATTTCTCGATCAAAAGTTATGATCGTCTTCAGTCACAGTTCTCTGATTTTTTTCCTCCGAAACTTATGAAAACAAGTGAATTGTGGCCCAAAAAATTAGGTTGGCAGGCTACGCCATGCCACATTTGTAGAGCACGGAAAGAGTTTTGATTTGGTATATTATAGGCCCAGCAACAATTTCTGGATCAAAAGTTATGGCCGTCTTCAGTCATAGTTCGTCGATTTTTTTTCCTCGGAAACTGATGAAAACAAGTGAATTTTTGCCCAAAAAATTGGGTTGGCGGGCTACACCCTGCCACGTTTGTAGAGCTTGAAAAGAGGTTCGATTTGGTATATTATAAGCTGAGCATCGATTTCAGGATCAAAAGTTATGGCCGTCTTCAGTCATAGCTCTCCCATTTTTTTTTCCTCCGAAATTGATGAAAACAAGTGAATTTTGGCCCAAAAAATTGGGTTAGTAGGATACGCATAGCCACATTTGTAGACCACAAAAAGAGCTTCGATTTGGTATATTATAGGCCCAGCAACGATTTCTGGATCAAAAGTTATGGCCGTCTTCTGTCACAGTTCTCTGATTTTTTTTCCTCCGAAAGTGAAGAAAACAAGTGAATTTAGGCCCAAAAAATTGTGTTAGTGGGATACGCCCAGCCACATTTGTAGAGCTCGAAAAGAGCTTCAATTTGGTATATTATAGGCCCAGCAACAATTGCTGGATCAAAAGTTATGGCCGTCTTTTGTCACAGTTCTCTGATTTTTTTTCCTCCGAAACTGATGAAAACAAGTGAATTTTGGCCCAAACAATTAGGTTGGTAGGCTACGTGCTGCCACATTTGTAGAGCTTGAAAAGAGCTTCGATTTGGTATATTATTCGCCCAGCAACGATTTCTGGATCAAAAGTTATGGCCGTGTTCAGTCACTGTTGTCCACTTTTTTTCCTCCGAAACTTATGAAAGCAAGTGAATTTTGGCCCAAAAAGTTGAGTTGGCGGGCACCGCCCAGCCACGTTTGTAGAGATTGAAAAGCGCTTTGATATGGTATATTATAGGCACAGCAATGATGTATGTATCAAAAGTGATGGCCATCTTCAGTCACAGTTCTCTGATTTTTTTTCCTCCGAAACTGATGAAAACAAGTGAATTTTGGTGCAAAAAATTAGGTTGGCGGGTGACGCCCTACCACATTTGTACAGCTCGAAAAGCGCTT